CATGACCTTCTCCTTCGATCCAGCCAAGTTACCACAACCGTCGGAAGCTTTCGCCACCACTGTCCATTACAATCCTCGACCCAGATGCCCTGCACATGCGGTCAACCCACCTGGCTTTCACTCCGGTTCAGAACCCTGTCAACTAGGGTCTCTAGCCTAGACCTATGGCTGTCACTACTAGACTTCACTGCTTATGAGGAGGCATTTAAGGAGATCCCCCATAACTCCTCAGGAATTCTTTGACGTCGCAAACAGGACGACATGATCAGCAAGTCCTCTCAAGACTTAGACAGCCAGTTGTGCAGCCCACAGCTTGGATTTTGGGCCAACCATGCCACACTGAGCAGCCCGCCGGTCTATACCGGTCCTTGGGAGGGTTAGTCCTCCGGGACGTGCCAGTCGTCATACATGGACAGCAACCCTACTCAGCCTGTGTGGGCTTGGTCAACGCAGCTCTATGACCACATACACAGAGTTCCTATCACCTCGATAGAAGAGACTCAATGCTGAATAAGAGACAGACGAACTTAGCAAGTACCATGGGGTGAGTGCACATCATAGGGCGAGGGGATAGGCTGAAGGCTTGGCAAAATTATACCAACTCCAGCTTGGTCAAACTTCAGTCAACGGCCTTGGTCAACGTCGGTCAACACTGCAGTCAGCGGCGGTAACCACCTTGGTCAACGCTGGTCAACACCTCGATCAACTTGAGTAAGCTCAGCTATGGCTGCCAACCCCTTCTCCTTCATCAACCTTCACCTTCCTTCTCTCTCCCCTCCTTTCTCTCTTCTACTTCACCCCGGCTATGGCTTCTCTCTCCTCCCTCGTCTGTCCTTCCTCCTTTACTTTCTTTTTCTTCCCAAATTTGTCTTCCTCTTCGTGTCCGAGCTCGGCGACTGTGGCCGCCATTTTCCTCCTTGAACCGCACAACCAATCTTGTATCGCTCGTCTCTCTCTCTCTCTCTCTCTCTCTCTCTCTCTCTCTCTCTCTCTCTCTCTCTCTCTCTCTCTCTCTCTCTCTCTCT